GCGGGCCGGATCCGGCCAGGTGGGTGACGGTTGGATCCGGCCCGCGACCAGCTGACGTCCGGCCCGCGGCTGGTATCAGCGACTTACATCGTGTTCCGGCCCGCGGTTCCTTCATAAATCGACTCCGATATAAAAGTGACTCAAATGTGCTTTGGCACAACAGTTCTTCCTTCGCACACTTCATGAGTTTATAAACACCATTTGCGGGTGTTTTTGTCTAATTCTACTTCTAGACAAAACTTGCAACGGTAAGATTTGGTCAGCAGCTTTTGCGCGCAGCATCAACGACTGCTGCAGCTGCGTGCACTTGGCGGCTTCACGTGGTCTACTCGCTTAACCTTCCAGGCGGTGTGTGTGGGGGGGGGGGGGCGGGCCGGAACACGATGTAAGTCGCTGATACCAGCCGCGGGCCGGACGTCAGATGGTCGCGGGCCGGATCCAACCGTCACCCACCTTGCCGGATCCGGCCCGCGGGCCGTATGCCGACCCAGTGACCTAGAAGGCCTTAAAATCGGGTATTAATCTCTGCGGCTCGTAACGGCGCACACGCTCGTTTTTTCCGCGACGCGCTAGCTCCACCAGTGGCGAAACGGCGATGGGGGGGGGTCGTACCCGCCCCCTCGGCCGGCGTGTACCGTAGAAAACAAATAGGTCCGGCGGGCAGTAGCGGCGGAACATCTTCAATTAAGGGGGGCACGGCACTGCCGACTTTTGGTCCAATATGCTTTCCATGCAACGCCCATAGGGCTACTGTTAAAAGGCCAAAATTAAAGAGGGGAACGGTGCCCCGGTGCCCTCCCCGTTCCGCCGCCTATGCCGGCGAGGGTACAAGAGATTATATTGTCGTTCAACGACCGCGAAAAAAAAGAATGTCCGGGACACAAATGATATGGAATGTTACGATTGTCGGCTCCAAATACAATAGCTTAACACCTGACTGACCTCATCTACCTGACATCATCCATTCCATGCATCAAATTCGTCATTCACTTGACTGTCTGATATTTCTTCATGCTTTTATTGAACCACATTTGTGGACGAGTGTTTGCGGAGACGAAGATAGCGCAGACAAAGATTTGCGGACGAAGATTTGCGGACGAAGATTTGATTGGACGAAGAAATGCGTGGACGAAAAATGCGGACAAAAATTTGCGGACGAAGATTTGCGGACGAAGATTTGCGGACGAAGATTTGCGGACGAAGATTTGCGGACGAAGATTTGCGGGGACGAAGATTTGCGTGGACGAAGAAATGCGGACGAAGATTTGCGTAGACGAAGAAATGCGTGGACGAAAAAATGCAGACGAAGATTTGCGGACGAAGATTTGCGGAGACGAAGATTTGCGGACGAAGATTTGCGCAGACGAAGATTTGCGTGGACGAAGAAATGCGGACGAAGATTTGCGTAGACGAAGAAATGCGTGGACGAAAAAATGCTTGACGAAGAAATGCGCCGACGAAGAAATGCGGATACGAAGAAATGCGCTACGAATTTTTGCACCTACGAAGAAATGCGAGACGAAGTAATGCGACACGAATAAATGCGCCGACGAAGATTTGCGGACGAAGAAATGCGGACGAAATATTGCGCGACGAAGAAATGCCATACGAAGATTTGTCCGGTTACGCAATATCAATATACCCTGCTTGCGTGCACGTATGTGAGCGCGGGCAAGAGTACTAGCGGGCCTTGGTAACAACTGGATTTCCATTACGTCATGGGTGATGATGTCACACCACGGGTGACGTTTCACTGCTGCTGCTGCTGTCCACGGAGGGCAGCGTTTGTGAGTGGAAAACAGTAGCAACATTGTAAATGAAGGCAGTATTGGCGCTTATGCTACATATGAAATTTATAACAACATATTGATATTGGTGAATGTTTATTTTTGTTACTTTTCATAAACCCTCCATTTCAGAGGGTCTGCATGCAAAATTTCTGTTATTTTTTAGAGTCAAGCTATTGTACTAAGGGATTTATTTTGGCAATTTAGTCATTTGTTAGGTTATAAGGCTGCAGAAACTTTTAGTTGAGGTTGGTATCCATTATCCAGTTGCATATAATCGTGTCATATTTTGTATCATTTTCTGAACATGTAAACACCTACCTATATGAATTCAAATTTTGTGATTGTAGAAAAGCAGTTACCCTCACATTGCAGCGGGGATTAGAACAATTAACCACACTTGTTATACAAAAAGCCTGTTTGCCATCAATTTTGGGAATCCAAATTGGGTATTGGTAAGGTAGATGTAGCACAAGCTGCCCGATGCACGAGAATGGGTCTTTCTAACCAAACCTTACCTAACCTGACCTACAACCTACAGCCTTAAACCTAAAATTTACAACCTACGACCTAGTCCTACGGTATGGCATATCACAACAGCTTGTGCTACGTCTGCTAGTGCTACCATGACCCAACTTTGTGCCAATTCATACCAACTTGGGATGACAGTCACTGCAGATGACAGATGTGTGCTGACCATGCAGGTCTTTGTTACAATTGCAATTCTATTGTGTTACAGGTTCGGCGTTCTACAGCTGCGACCCGCCATGGCTGGGCCACCGCAGCGGCATCACCTTCAGGGTGGACCTGCCCGTGGCCACCCGCCGGTCGGACCCGCCTGCAGTCCGCAGGGAAGCTGCCCTGCGAGCCATTGCAGAGCTCCCGCACCCGGACGTCACTATCTGGTCGGACGGCTCGGCTCGCGGCGGACGGAACAGGGCGGCGCAGGCGCTGATCCAGTTCCACCACCTCAACAGAGAAGAGACCGTGCGCGCTCCTGCAGGGGCGGTCTGCTCCAGCCTAAGAGCAGAACTGACCGCCATGCGCGAGGCGTTCGCGGCTGTGGCCGGCCTGGAGGACGGGGAGTTGGCATCGACCAAGTCGGTCCGCCTCCTCACCGACTCAAGGTCTGGGCTCCAACTACTTGGCCGCGGCCCAGCTAACCAGACCATGGCCCTGGCCGCCGAGGTGTGGAGGCTGCTGAGTGCTGAGCACCCTCACCGAGAACGGCACCGAGACGGTGCTCCAGTGGGTGCCAGGCCATGCCGGGCTGGACGGCAACGAAACCGCCGACCTCCTGGCTGGCGAGGCCACGGCGGGCGACCAAGACAGCGCACCGATCGACCTGTCGAGTGCGCGGGCCGCCGTCACGCGCCATGTCCGGGAGCTGTCGCGACAGAGGGCAACCGCTGCCCACCCGCACCCGGACCCCACGCCTGGCCACGACTCCCTGGCGCGCTGGGGTCGGTGACGCTGTCCCAGCTGAGGACCGGCACATCACCGCTGACCCGTGACACGCTCCACAAGATTGGCCCGGAAGCCGACGACGAATGCCCCGCGTGCGGGGAGCCCGACCGCGCGGCGCACCTACTGACCGATTGTCCGGCCTATGAGGCGGCCCGCCGCCGCCGCTGGGGTGTCGACCCTCGCCTGGTCGACGTCCTCGGCGGCCCGGCGACGAAGGTCGTCACCTTCATCGAGGATGTTGGGCGGGCAGAGCCGCCGCTCGACCCGCCTGCGCCGCCGCCCCCCTGAGCGGGTTGGCAATGGGATGCAGAAGAAGAAGAAGAAGCAACTGCCAGCGCGCCACGGCGGCGAAGCCGAGTTCCGCCGCTGGACCGCCCGCGCAATGGCCAGCACAGACAAGAGACAACCGAATCACAACACCTACAATTACGTTATTATGGTATTGACATTGTTACAATTAACCCTGCTCTTTCGAGCGTGGATGCACGCTGAAATTGTCGCATAATTCCATGCAGCTTCCACCCTTCTGCAATACAAAGTTTGAATACAAAGTAGTCTTACAATAGGTTTAGAACTTATGTGCAGATTGTCGATGCTGGTTGACTTGATGATTGGAATTGTGTTTATCTGTTTATCTGTTTTGACTTAAATATATGGCCATGTACTATGGCCTACCTTGGGAAGTGTCTCTGATTTCAACAAAACATTTTTCATCAGGATACGCTGCAGGGTACATAGTACATACGTAGTGAAAATTTTGAGCATGTATGGGTGCGCATGTGGAGATGTAGACTGCGAATGAGACGGACTACGACGGTTTTGAACCAATTAAATCTGATTGACAACATAATGTAGGATTAAAAACTGACTGTCAGAAGAATATTCACAGAATATTCACTTCACCCAGTACAACGAAAAGGGAAAGTCAGGAAACAGGCAGGGGTACATCTCGAAGATCAATCAAATTGCAGGTGCCGATTGGTTATGGATCATTGTAGCTCAATGTACTGCCTTGTGCTGCTTTATTGATTGAAATTGCTTCCAGCTTGTATTGAAAGAAGTCATTATGGAAGAATTAAAAAGGTTCTTGAAAAATTTAAATACTTTGAATTGATATTTATGCAGAATTATACACCCGTATCATTCTTTACATGTCAATATTTGTATATTATCTAGCATATAAGAAAATAGTGGCCTCAAGTTTCTAGAAAATATCTGATTTTACTCTCAGAGCCACTGCAGATCCCTAAAAAGTTAGGAGCCGTCTTCATTATTGAATGTATAAACCCAAATAAATTATCACTGCTCAAAAGTGGAAGAAATGACAAATGAAATAAAGTTTTCCTACAGCGTTGCAATCCAGATTTCAAGATAGTGATGGGCGCACTAGAAAGCAAGTAAAAGTACTCCACAAGGCAAAAGTAAGGAACAAGAATATCCTTATACTGTTTCAGAATTCGGTAACAAACATTTTTTGTGTGTTTTAAATACCCGAACAAATCGATTCCAGAATCAGTCTTGATAATATTATATGGTTTTTGTATGGTGTTGGTGGTACTTGAATGACCAAAGTCAGTACATGTCCATCACCTTTCGATATTTCCGTGGTGCTCGTTCCCATTTCATAGCTGCTCACGGTGTTTTCTGCTGACGTCATATGGTGCTGCTCCACTAGCGCCACCATACGGCGTCAGCTGGCGAATTATCCAGTTAATACCAGAGCCCGTACTAGCCGGCCGCCGATCAGGGCAAGATAATTGGCGCAAGGCCACTTATAACCATTTGGTTGTTTCCCTATAGGTCGAATCTTTGTTAATATTAATGCTGTGATATCAACTACAATATAGTGTGATATTTTTTTCGTGAACATCTTCCAATCGAGTGTAAGGGAAATAACGGCTATTCTGCTGTTATTTGTTCGTCATTTTCATGGAAAGAAATTTAATTTTATCACCTTTCATTCTGTCCGATATGGAAAGATAAATAAATACCTGGATAGCTTGTTGTAATTTATTTATATTGATTTTGCTTGTACTATACAAGCTCAATTTGAGGGTGTCGGTGTTGTTCGGTCACATTTTTTTTTATCAGCTGGCTGTGAGCCTGCTGCTATTTCTTGGCTCCTCATTGGCTAAATTCACGTAGTTATGCATTTGAGCTATTAGAGGTCAAGAAAAAGGCATTATTTTGTATTCCGAAAAAATTTGGTATTTATATACATGAGGTCCGATCTCTAAAGTGATTATAACAAACATACCACACGATGTATTTTGACCTGATTACATACCTGATAGTTATTCATGGCGCAAACAAGTTTAAAAGCACCTGTAAAATATTTACCGTCACCACCGGCCACTACCGCACTCCACCAGCCGTTTGCGCCATGTGGAAAGGATCAAATGAATAAACTCCAAGGTTGAGTGAAAACAGTACGCTATTCGATTTTGTTATGAAAGTGACGTCATAATAATACTTGTGGCGGAGCAGTGCAGCGCCGAAGGTGATGCCTTAGGAGAGATTACAGGCAATGCTAAATCAATTATTTTAGGTTAACTGATTGTGTATCGGGGTTCAGGCCGAAGGCCGGAAACTGATCTTATTTGACAGACGTTAGTCCTGAAGTAGTATTTTTTACCATAATTAGGACTCATCCAAGCTTTCATGCTCCTGCTCGAGCGAAATTTTGGTCGTGTATGGTGCATGTATGGTCGCTTACTGAATGCATTGTGACAGAACCGGTATGAAAATATTCAAAAACAGAGGACATCATGACGCCACCGGCTGCTGAAAAGTGTAGGGTATTTTGATAATGTCTCTAAAACATAACCATTTTAATCAGTCCTATGATTGACATGGACTCGAGAACCCATGTTTTTTATTGCATTTAATGAAAGAAATAAATCCCATTTTCCTATAAAATGCGTGAAAATATTCAAAATCAGAGGGCATCGATGTGCCATGGCCCGATGAAAGTCCTACTCGATCAAACTGCGCTCCAGCATGCTGAACATCGTATCAGTATTCAGTCTGTTCCGTAACGTTACTCTCGAGAACCCACTGTTTTTATTGCATGTATGGTCGCTTACTGAATGCAATGTGGCAGAACCGGTATGAAAATATTCAAAAACAGAGGACATCATAAGACCACCGGCCCCTAAAAGTGTAGAGTATTTAAACAAAGTCTGTATTATACGAGTCATTTTGATCGGTCTTTTTCTTCACTTTGACTTGAGAACTATAAGAGATGTCAATCAGATACCAACTTTTTGGTTACCGATACGAAACCGATACCAACTTGGTATTTGGTATTTCACTCCTAATGTGTTTGGTATTCTGTTGGTATCATGAACCCCCACTAATGTATAAGAGGCAAGAAATCGGTAAAAAGTTGGTATTTCCCTAATTTTCCCAAGTTGGTTTGGTTTAGGCCTATTTCGCCACGGTTTTGGTTGGTATTTGGTTTGGTATCGGTATGCCGATTTTCCGTAATTGACATCACTATTGAGAACCTATGCTTTTTATTGCGCGAAATGAATGAGAGTTATCACATGTTCATTGTTCTTATTGAATGCATTATAATATGCAAAATCAGGGGACATCGATGCGTTTCAGCCCGGTGAAGTGCCCAGTTGATGAATGCCTGTTTGGCCCATTTTAACACTGCATCGGCATTTACACAGCTTCCGAACGATATGCTTGCTAAGAGAGCTTGATGATCAAGTTTGGATGGTTTTGGAAAACGGTTGGTTTTGGATGATGATCAAGTTTGGAGCTTGATGATCAAGCTTCCAAACTTGATGATGGCGTAATGCCTAAAGCTTGTTTTACTGTTTTAGATATTTATTTTGCCTAAAATAAAAACTTTGACATGCTAACACATGAAAACACATGAAATGTGTGAGATCATTTCAAGCCTCCTTCGTTGATTTTCTGAGAGAGCACTTTCGGCAGAAGAAAACGCATTACACAAAATAATCGAAGTGTCTTCACTTGTTATCTATTACACTATGAGTTGGCCTTAAAACATGCATCGCACAACCCTAGTAAAGTTGGGTTCATGTGCTGACCCTTGGTGACCTGACCTGTGACCTGACCTAGTATTATCAGTGACCTCCCATAGCAACATATGTACTAGGCAGCTGACGCCCTATCGCTGATTATTCGACAAAATGCGTTTTACTCGATATTATAGCGCATTCCCTAGAAGACTCGTGAGCGGTGAAACATTTTATCTTTCACCTGACCTGTGACGTCTTGACCCCAATGTCAATAAATTTGGAGTTCCCTCGACAAATTTGTCAGGGCTATCAAACGCCGTTTGAACTCTACGGATCCGTCCAGTAGTTTCGGAGATACGGGGGAGAATGCCCCCCCCCCCCGCATGAAAGGTGGCCGGGAGGCCCACCGCCTGCCGGGTTAACTCAAAATGACAAGACAACACAGCAGACAGGACAAAGCGTTCCGCGTCTCTCAGCTCCCAGCCGGCAGCTCCTGCCCGGGCGCCACACAGCCACTGTTCCGCTGGACAGTCTGCCCCTGTCCGGCCTGTTGGCGTACTGTGCCGCCGCGAGGTCTCCCCTCCGCCCCCTCCCCCACGGGGCGGGTGGTCCAGACCCTACACCACTTGTAAGATATGATTTTAACAGAATTACTACCAAACATTTAATAGTATTAAAGTTAAATTAACTATTGTAAAATGTGGGACATCAAGTGCCAAATTTAATTTAGCTGTGGAAGTTAATCAACCAAATAATTAATTCCGTTGATCATGGTATTGTATGGTCCTGTTTCAGGTCATGGCATCAACAAGGGAGCATAGCGAGGAGGAGGACGAGGAAGACACCAAGAAGAAAAACTCCAACACCCTCCCACTGTGGGGAAATGAGAAAACCATGAACCTCAACACCCTATTGCTCACAAACATTCAGTCATCTCATTATTTCAAAGGTAGGTATGTGACAGTGCATGTTTTGAGGGGCATTGATTGAAGTTATGAAGATTTTCTTGTCACAATGTCATTTAACCAAGGTAGCCTCAACAGTTATCTCTCTCAGTAGGTACCTAATTTCCACCTCCAGTGCTGTTTGTCATATGTGGCTAACGGCTGGCCATCATCCCTTTTTTATGTGTCTGACTCTTTTGTTGCATGCGTACACCAAGGGGACACCCTGACTATTCATGATCGTGTTCATTATCTGATGCATTATGTGCGTTGGATGTAATTCAATCAGCACTGCGACTGTGTTCAATTATTTTCCACACTTGTCACTCTGCATTTGTAAATGTAACGTGTAAACTTGTGTCGCCAGTGAACCTGTTTGAGTACAAGACTTACCACGAGGTGATCGATGAGATATACTACAAGGTCACCCACCTGGAGCCGTGGGAGAAGGGCAGCCGTAAGACGGCTGGTCAGAGCGGCATGTGTGGTGGGGTGAGTAAATGGATAGAGGCTGGTTGGGATCAGATGGGGAGGGGTGAGTGGAAGTGCAGATTGCTGGTTAGAATCAGGCCGGGGGGGGGGGGGAGGTGGAAAGGCTGATGGTCAGTCAGACGTAGCGTGGATACTTTAGTACTGGAGTGTGGAGGAAGGCTCTGATACTCTTTGTACTCAGAGCAGCATGAGTGTGGGTTGGGGTAGGTGGGATGAATATTGATGGCAGCCCAGAAGGAGAGGGACTTGCTGGCCAGGTGAGGAGTTAGGCACGACGTCTGCTCAAAGCGGCGTCTGTGACTTGGGCTGGATGGATGGTCGGAGGGACAGGCTAGGAGTGCAGTGTGTAGTCTGTGACTATGCTAATGACTGTCAGTTTGTGACTATATGCTTGTGTTTTTGTCTCTGTGACTCTTTTTGACTGTGTGATTGTGTTTATGTTCTTGTGGCTGTGTGTTATCAGCACGTTTGTGACCGTGTGTCGGCCGGCAGGTGCGCGGTGTGGGCGTTGGCGGTATCGTCTCCACGGCCTTCTCGTGCCTCTACAAGCTGTTCACGCTGCGGCTGACGCGCAAACAGGTGACCGGACTGCTCAACCACACCGACTCGCCGTACCTGCGCGGGCTCGGCTTTATGTACCTCAGGTGGGTGGGCCCCCTCCTTCTCCCCTCCGGCGCCGACCCGCACGGCCTCATAGCTGCGACGGTCCTGGAAATAGCGCCGGTGAATTTGTACCTATTTTAGGCTAACACGAACGTGTAGTTGCCCTTTGCTCCGCGATAATGCTCAATCGAGGTTTAGTGTGTTGTGCGTGCTTCACCATAAAGACGAGTTCTATCCTCAGTATATTGGTCACCTCTTTCGGATATTGTTGGGGACAAGACGCACGCTTGTCCCTACGTGTACGTGTGTTTCCAGATACACCCAGCCACCAGCCGACCTGTGTGGGGCTGGTTCGAGTCCCTTCCCCTGACCGTTGTCCGTGTGTTTCCAGATACACCCAGCCGCCGGCCGATCTGTGGGACTGGTTCGAGTCCCCTCCTCTGACCGTGTGTCTGTGTGTTCCCAGATACACCCAGCCGCCGGCCGATCTGTGGGGCTGGTTCGAGCCATTCCTGGAGGATGAGGAGGTGAGGTCCGTTCCACAAACACGCACACACACGAACAGAGACAGATAGATAGTCATAGCTGCTCTATTAGATTGCGCAAACGTGCTACACAATGTAGACTGTAGGTATATCTTTGGTTAATTACGCTTCATTTTGGGTTATTCCTGTTTTACTTACATGTCGTAGGTAGGTAGGTACGTAATATTTATTTTCTCGTCTTGAATCTGATCAAGTAGTTGATTGTTATACATTCAGCTTGAGCTGAGACTCTAGGGCCTGGATTAAAAAAGTGCCTCGGACTGAATTGTGACAGCGTGACGTATTTTGTGATAAACAGTTACTCACGCTTTGTACCTTCCCCTGTCTTTCCTGCTCATTTCCTCTACGCCTCATCCCGTCCTTCATGTCGGTCACATTCTCTAACCTCTCGATTATCTGCTCTATATGTCTCCCTGGTCCTCCCTGTTCTCTTTTCCCTTCCCACTTCGTCCTGGCCACCTCATGTCACCTCTCGTTTTCTCCCTTCCCCGTATCACTTCCTGCCCCTTTCTCCTCCCCGTCCCCACCGCTCCCCTTCCCACCATCTCCGTCCTCCCGCTCCCCTCCCACCGCTCTCCTCCCACCGTCTCTGTCCCACCGCCTCTGTCCCACCGCTCCCCTCCCACCGTCTCCCCTTCCACTGTCTCCGTCCCTCCCGCTCCCCTCCCACCGTCTCCGTCCCCCTGTTCCCCCTCCCACCGTCTCTGTCCCACCGCTCCCCTCCCATCGTCTCCGTCCCACTGTTCTCTCTCCACCGTCTCCGTCCCCCTGTTCCCCCTCCCACCGCTCCCTTCCCACTGTCTCCGTCCCACCGCTCTCCTCCCACCGCTCCCTTCCCACCGTCTCCGTCCCACCGTCTCTGTCCTCCGCAGATGATCGACGTGAAGGCTGGCGGCGGCGAGGAGATGATGATGGGCGTGCTGGTGCGCAAGATGCTGACCAAGCTGGACTGGTACGGCACCCTGTTCCCGCGTATCCCCGTACCCATCCAGGTAAGGTGCGCACCCCTGGACGGGCGCCGGCCGGCCAAGACGCCGCACAGGGCGCGCTGTGCCGCCGAGCCGTAGTGGGGTGATGGTGCTCGCCTGCCCGGCCTGGTGGAACGTCCGTGGAAGCTCGGTCTGTTTCACGTTGAGAGTGATAAACAGGGGTCTTAGTTCTGATTTAGAGGTAGTTTGTGTTTTATATGTTTTCTGTTGTTCTTTAGTTGCTGTTAATGTAATTAATCACTGCCGTTTCGATTCAAAGATTCGCGGGATGCGTTTTCAAAGCTGAACGGCGAGCTGGACTCTGGGATATGTTCGGTATCTAATCGAACCCGAGTGATCGAGCGACCGGGTATCGTAGGCAGCGCTCGAACCTGCTTCCCTGTCGTGTACCGGGGCTGAACGGCTGGTGTGTTCCTCCGTCAGATGAAGATTCAGAAGCAACTGCAGGAGCGTTTTCCGGCGGTGGGCGGCCCGCAGGTGGGGGACGTTCGACGGCCGGGGGCCGGGGAGGACGGCCGCCGCCACCCGGCCCGGGAGAGGTCCGCCAGCCGGGAGCGCCAGAGGTGAGACGCCGGAGACGCCGGCGTGTGTAAGACGCACTCTGAGCGGGTTATCTGCGCCAGGCGAAAGGCGCCGGAATCGCCCGCCAATGCGCCGACGACCTCCGCACGGAATCCCAACCCTTTTTCATCGCCGTCATCTTGCGTGCCTTGTATATTGTTGGCTGCTAAATCGTTTACTGATTTCTGTTAATGCGGCTCGGTCATGGCTTCCATTCGTTCATTGTAATGCTAACCGCCAGTCACGGGGCTATTGGACTTTGCGCTGTTGCCTTGTCTCAGTCGAACGATGTGGTGTACAACTAGCACTGGTCCCGCCACGGCCGACGTGTAACCGATGCTCCTCCTTCCTCAGGCCGCAAGCACCTCCGCGAGACATTGCTGAAGAGATTGCCCTGGAAAAGGAGCGCATCCGCCGGGAGCGAGAGGGCAGTCGAGGCAGGGACGGAAACGAGAGCAATTCGCGAGATCGGCGTGACAGCAAATCACGCGAGCGTCACGACAGCAAGACGCGAGAACATCGCGACAGCAAATCACGTGATCATCGCGACAGCAAGACACGGGACCATCGCGACAGCAAATCGCGCGAGCACCGCGACGAGCGGCGGCGGGAGCGGGAGCACAGGAGCCGTGACCGAGACCGGCACCGCAGCCGGAGCCGCTCCCGGGAGCGGCGTCACCGGCGGAGCCGCAGCCGCGAGCGGCGCGCCGACGGCCGCAGGGAGCGCTCTCAGCGGAGCCGCAGTGGGAGCCGGGAGCGGCGCCGACGGAGCAGGGAGAGGGACCGACACCGCGACGAGCGGCGACACCGGCGCAGCGGCAGTCGGGAGCGGCGCCGCTGAGCCCGGGCCCGCCGGCGAGCGGACCGAGGACGAGCTCAGAGGAGCGGCGCTGTGCGGCGCGCTGCGCACAGCGGCTCCGAGCTGGCTGCCGATAGCTGATTCCCACTGAGACTGGCTGGGTGGATCCTGGCCGATACTGGACGTTGATTGTCACCATTCGCATGTGTATACCATGTGAGTCATAAATATGTCATGGGCGTAACAGCGGAGTTTTAGTTGTGAGTCAGAGCTGCCTGTGAGTGAGGACGAAGGTGCTTTTGGGCGAAGTGTTTGTTAATTGATAACAAAAAGCAATAGGGATAAAAATTATTTATTCAGTCTGGCAGTCTTTTTCTAGACTGACAACTGGCTGAGCATCGAAGAGAAATTCGGTTGACTGATTGGATCGCGTGCAGCTATCAATTTCCGCTACCTAATCGGCCATCCGGATTTTTCATTGCAATAGGGAACTATAGTAAACTAACCAAATAGCTGTATCGAGGCTCGCTCTAACTCTAATCACAGTTGGGATACGCGGCGAGGCCGATTCAACGTGGTAACCGTGTGTCAGATTATTTGAGGTTGCGCAGGTAAATATCTGCAGTTCATAACCGTTGGTTTTGACCTCACCTCCATGACGGTTTCACCCCCAAAGGTCGAGTATCACAAAGTTGCAGGCAAATTCTACTTTATTTTTATCTGGTGTTTGTACGTTACGGAACTAGAAAATGCCACTGTTGTATTTTTTCCTATATGAAACGCCAAATGGCGTTTATCATAGCTGACTAGCTAATGACTGAGAAGGTGAAATCTGACGAAAGATTATGCACTGTATACCTCAGATAATCGCAGGCGACGCCTGTAATTATGCTATTGCATTATCCAGTATCCACCCATTCATTATGGCCAAAACAACGCTAGGAGTTGTTTGAATGTATATGTTACGGGCCAAGTGTGAAGGCTAGTCCGTTTGCGAACGGACTAGTCCATTCGCGAATGGACTAGGCCGTTTGCGAATGGCGGTCCGTTTGCGAATGGCCGGCCATTCGCGAATGGCCTAGGCCGTTTGCGAACGGACGGGTTTGTGGCGTTGCACTTAGCCGCCGGAAGCATGGATCCTCGGATTGGGGTACGATTCCGAATGAATGGGGGACCGCTGGTCGATGCAGGGGCGTCGCCGATGGGGGGGGGGGGTCGGAGGGGTCCGGACCCCCCCCCACACACACACACACACATTCTTGAAAATATGCCGGTCCGACGCCCCCCCCCCCCCTCCCCCCACAACACTTTTGGCCACGAAAATCGATCAAGAATGAAATAAAATATTTTAAAAACGATTTTGGTGCATTCTCAAAATAAAATTGTCCAAATCCGAGAAGTTTTCAGTATTTTGTGGGGATTACTTTGACTGACCGTCCGACCAGATCCCCTAGTCGAAAATCCGTGGCGATGCCACTGCGTTATATGTTTGGTTTGTTCTCCGGAGGAGATCTGCGAGCTGGCGCAACTCTGGGTTAACCCGCGCACCGACGGGGGTCTGCGCCAACTTAGTACCGACGGGGGGGGGGGGGGGCGGCCCAGCCAGCAATTTTGCTCCGGGCCCAAGCAGGCTCAAGTGCGGATTGCCCGAGATTTTTAGTCGGGCTAAAGTCGGCTAGGGCTTGGGCTAAAGTCGGCGTATGACACAAATACGCCGACTAAAGCCCATGCTCTGCCGGAGGTATGCCCGCTCTGCGAGCTCCGGACAGCCGTAGGTTAGCCCTAGTTGAGCGACGATTGGCGTTAGCCCGATTTAAGCCCGAGCAGTGAATCCATTTATATAATGGAGATTACTCTGGGCCCGAGCGGGCTGAACTCCGGCAAGCCCACTCTGTGTGCCCTGTCTATCCCGACTTAAGCCATAGAAGTGAATGGGGTTTATACATTGCAAACTGCTGTGGCTTTGCTCGGGTTCGGCTCGAGTGATGGCTCCTGTTTTCTCAAGTCTCGACTTGACTTCATCTTGCTTTTGCTTCACACTGGATCAAGTAGCAAGGAGCAGCCAATGCACTTTCAGCAGGTTGTGCGGTTTCAATGCATATTTAAAATTGTTACGGTCACTCATATGCTCTGTTAACCGGTCATCGAGGCTCGTGCATTGCAAAAGGAAAGTAGTTGTTGTGTATTAGGATGATGTCTCTTGTGACGTCATTTACTCTGCCTGGATTTAGAGAGTGTGCCTCATATGGAGAATCTTGGAAGTTGTTGTTCTTGGCCTTGTGTAGTATGGAAGAAACGTTCTGAGTAAAAGGAGTCTTTGGAGTCAGCCAAAAGCATGAAGTACAATCGGAAGTAGCAGAATAAGGAAAGTACGGACCACTCGATACACAACAAAATGGCGACGAAGGTAAAATACGCGATTTAAAGTCCCGAAGACGCATCTGTAAGGCGCAGCACGTGTCGCGCCAAAGTTTGTCGCATTTCAAGGTTAAGGGCATATCTCGAGTTGGAAGTGCGCCAGTATTTGTCGATTTGGATATTTTCTGAATTATGGCTGTTAGTCTGCCTCCACCACCAAGTATCAAGGAAGGTGAAAACTTCATGACATGGATCAAATCAGTGGAAATTTACATGGGTGCAATTGATGTGAAAACTGCTTCTCAGAAAGTCAATATTGTTCTGCACCTTCTCGGACCTGATGTTCAAGGTATTATCGATACTTTGCCAGAGGGGGAAGGGACAAATGCATATGAAAAGTTGAAAGATCAGCTGGAGAAGCACTTCAAGCCAAAAGTAAACGCAGTAGTTGAGCGACATCACTTCAACACAATGGTGTACGAAGGCGGAAGAGTGGAAGGATACGTAGCAAAGCTGAAAACTCAAGCTCGGAAGTGTGACTTTGATGTCAATGAAGTGGATAACCTGGTGAGAGATAAGCTGGTTGCAACATGTCCCTCATCCAGAGTAAAGGAGAGCATGCTTAAGGAAGAAAAGCTGACTCTAACCAAAGCCATCTCTATATGGTCGACAGATGCCACTGTTCGAGAGCAAGCTCGGAAGATGGAAGTGTCAGAGGAAGGAGCATCAAGGAAAGATGAAAAGGTGAACAAGGTCAACTGGAAGCAGGCAGAAAGAAAGCCAAAGAAGGATGAAGCTGTGAGAGGGCAGCAAAACCAGATGAAAAATGCAAGAGGTAAGATGATGCAAAGCAGTCAAAGGGAAGATGAAAGGAAATGCTTCAGATGTGGCAAAGGTAACCATCTGATAAAAGACTGCAGAGTGCCGAAACATGTCAGATGTAACAACTGTTCAAAGCCGGGTCATCTCCAAGCTGCGTGCAGGAACCCGAGTGCTGAAGAGAGAGTGAGGGTGAACTGTAATGAAGGTGACAAAGTAGAAGATGACGAGGAAGACAACTATTGTGTGTATCAAGCAAGCAGGGAGAAGTCAAAGGCGATCAAGGTGAGCATGTCCGTAAATGGCAAGGATGTGGAATTCCTGGTTGACACAGGATGCCCAGTGACGTTGATGCCAGACAGTGTGCTTCCTGGACTGAGTCTGCGGAAAGCTGGATGTCGTCTGACCTCATATACAGGGCACAAGATCCCTGTGCTGGGTGTCACTGATGCAGAAGTAGTGTACCAAGGAAACAAGAAGGAACTGGAAGTGCATGTGGTGGAAGGAGATGGACCTCCACTACTGGGACGTAACTGGCTGAAAGAAATCAGACTGGACTGGGAACAGCTGGTGGGAAGTATGCAATCTCAGAAGACAATGCGTTGGAAGCTGGAAGATGTTCTGCAGAGGAATGAAGAGCTGTTTGATGGTACGCTGGGTCAGATGAAGAACACTGAAGCTCATCTAGAGCTGAAAGAAGATGCCAAACCAGTGTTCCAGCCACCACGACCTGTGCCATATGGTCTCGCGGACAAAGTGAAGCAAGAGTTGTCAAAATGGGTGGAACTTGGAGTGACAAAAGAACTGACGTCAGAGGATGCAACGCCGAAGTGGGCCACGCCTCTCGTAGTCGTACCAAAGCCGGACGGATCAGTAAGGCTCTGTGGAGATTTCAAGGTAACGCTGAACCCAAACCTGGAAGTGCCGAAGCACCCGCTGCCGAAGATGGAGGACATTTTTGCAACAGTGGGACCGGTTCGATACATCTCAGTGATTGACCTCTCCCAAGCGTATCTGCAGATGCCCCTCAGCACAGATAGCCAGGAATACTGTGTTCTCAACACACCATGGGGGATGCACCGTATGCTGCGACTACCATACGGGGTGAAGTCAAGTCCAATGCTCTTCCAGAGGGAAATGGACAGAATCCTCAAGAATGTGCCTGGAGTGAAGTGTCTGTTGGATGATATTCTCATCACAGGAAGAACTGAAGAAGAAGCACTGAAGCGACTGGACGAAGTGATGCAGATCATGAAGTCACACGGTCTGCGTCTGAAAAAGGAGAAATGTCAGTTTCTGACAAAGGAAGTCCGGTACCTAGGGCTCAGGCTAGGAGCCGAGGGCATCAGAACAGATCCAGAACGTGTGAAAGCCGTGCTGAACGCAAGAGCACCCACCAACCAGAAAGAAGTTCGTGAGTTTCTCGGTGCTGTCACGTTCTACAACCGCTTCCTGAAGAACCTCTCGAAGACAGCAAGGCCGTTGAATGAACTCCTGAAGAAAGACAGCGAATGGAAGTGGACTGCAGAGTGTGAAGCCAGCTTCAACAGCATCAAGAGACAGCTGTCATCAACGGAAGTGCTGCGTCATTTCGACGTGACGGAGCAGGTGACGGTGATCACGGACGCTAGTCCAGAAGGACTAGGCGCCGTACTCGTTCAAGGGAAGGATGAGCGGCCGATCATGTACGTGTCAAGATCGCTGAGTGAACACGAGCGGAAATACTCTCAGATAGAAAGGGAAGGACTCTGTGTAGTCTGGGCATTTCAGCGACTGAAGCAGTTCCTGTACGGGCGCCATTTCAAGCTCGTAACGGACAACAAGCCGCTAGCTCATGTCTTTGGACCTAAGGCGCCGCTGCCGACGTTGGCTGCCTCACGGATCCAGAGATGGGCGATGAAGTTGGCGGAGTACGATTTCTCTGTGGAAGTCAGGAAGTCGGAACAGATTCCAGTAGCTGATTGGCTCTCACGTCTACCGAGAGAAGGCTCAGTGCTGAAGTCAGAAGCACCAGAAGACGAGTGCACTGTCTGTCTGATCGGACAACTGGAGTCGCTAAGTCCGGTG